GGGGAGGCGGCGGGGCCGGAGCGGACCCCGGCGGCCGGACACCCGGACACCGGCACGCGTCTTCCCCCGGGAGCGGGCCTGGGGAGTGGGGGGCGCTGCTCGCAGCGGGGGCGGCTGTGGTGCGCCAGGGGTGAGCGTCCAGTTTGCGCCCCTTCGCCGCACAGGGGTCCGAGAGGGGCTGAGCGTGGGGGTCACGGCCCTGGGGACCTCGGCCGCACCCCTTTGGTCCCCAACTGGCGGCCTGACCTGAGCCAGGCCTGAGGTCTAGGTGGGTACGGGTGAGCGGTGGTGGGCGCTACGAGGTGGCTTCTGGGCGGCGGGGGCTGGGATCCCGCGCAGGGGTCCGTTTCGCCCCCTTGGGGGCGGACTGGGTAGGAAGGGGCCCTCGGGGAAAGTTCCCCTCGGAGGGGGTGTCCTCTGGGGCCGCCCATGTGCCCAAGCCATTGGTCAGCAGCCCTCGTGGGTGTTGGAAAAGTCCCCTCCTTCCCGGTCGGCCACGGCTTAGCGGGGGAGTTGGGTTGGAGGTGCCCGGCGAGGTCTGATCTGCGGCTCCCGTTCCCCCGCCCTTCTCCTCCCCCTGCGCCGGACCCAGACTCTCGGGGCGGGTGGCCCTTGGGGGCTGCTAGCTCCGAGGCCCCAGAAGTTCCCAGAGGCCTCCTAGAACTTGGATGTAAAGCGCTGCCCCTCCTGCCCCAGAACGGACACAAGTTGATAATCTTCATTTGCCCCCTTCTGTGGGGAGGTGGTGGGTTGGGACGGGGATCCTCCCCCTGGTTCTGTGCTGATGTTTTCTTGTCAGGTGCTGGATCCTCTGTATTCTCTGCTTAGCCGAACCTCTTCTCATTTGAATAATGTCTAATTCGGGGAGGTTTATATTATTGAAATGGCCGCCTGGCTTTCCCCGCCTCTCATGTTTAGTAATTCAGACCTTTAATAACAGCCACTCACAGCCCAACGCCGTGTTTATATTTTACATTCGCCCCATGTGCTTTTGTGGTTCGATATGATTCTTCTTCTTTTTTTTTTTCCTTGGCAATCCACAGGGCTCTGAGATCAAACTCAGGCAATGCTGGGAAGAGAGGGGGAGAGCTAGGCCTTGGCTTCTCCAGCAGTAGCCTAGGCCTCATGTTTTCTGCTGCTTGATTTATTTACTAATAACCAAAATGACTACCCCCACGAACTTCCACACGTACACACACCCCTCCTCCGCGGGCAAACCAAACCCTCTTGAGGCCTTAGTCGCATTTAAAACACCTCCTAGCTAAGCATCAACTCTATGGTTTGTTTTCTCTTAAAATAGTTTGAAGTAATATTGGGCCTAGGACAAATTCTATCTTACTGATAACAAATTTTCAGAGGCTGTGAAATCTATTTTGGTTTAATAAAACTAGATTAGTTTGTTTTATGGATATTCTCTCCCTTGCTTCTCACCCCCGAGTTAAATACTTTTAGGCTTTTTAAAACTTCTCAGGGTTTGTAAAACCTATACAGTTGTATCCCCCTAGGAGTTGTGGAATAGCTAAATATTTTAGAAATTCCAATTAACAACCATTTTCCTAATTTTTCTGTGTGGTGCACCCTTTCTAACCTCTTCCTTCTGATTTAAAATGGGGCTGGCATTAATTTTGTGCTTTCACTGTCATAGACTTGCTTATTTTAATTGTAGCTTTACTGAAAACAGACATGAGGTTATGTTTTCTTTGAGTATTTGTGTCATGGTTAAATGAATGAAAGTAGAAGAATAAACACAGGCATTGTGTCTACCCCAATCTTGGAAGTTACTCTCCTCCTGGTACTCCTGCTCCTCTTCTTTAAGTTGTCAGCATTGATTTTATGTTTTATCTAGATTTAGGACAGTTGGCCTGTGAGAGAAATAGATTAACTTTTCTTGTTTAGAGGAAACAATTTTGATTTTCAGTCTTTCCCTGTGATAAATTTGTGTTTAACGTTTTTATTTTGTGTAGCTGTGTATATATATTTATAAATGGTATTGCATGTCATTGGTGGATATTTACCTATGTGAGTTCAGGGAAGAATTAAAGGATAAACACTAATGTATTAAACCTTGGAAATTATGCTAAGACACTTTGTGGTGATTGGCTAACTACAGTATTTTGTGGGACATCGGTCTTTAGTTTAATTTGTAGCAAAATTCTAGGTTTGGTGGACTAAAAGCTAATTTCAGATAAATGGTTCTGACCATTTTCTTCTTTCTCTCCCAGTAGGCAGGCCCTGAATGCAGCAGGAAAAAAAATATCTGTATCTTAGGAGAATGTTTGCAGTGAATGACTGTTTCAGAGACCCGAGGTATAGGGTCTTGTGGACAAAAAGCAGCAATATAATTTCATACCTTAAATAGCATATGTTTTTGCACCCGATTCCCAAGATGTGGTCAAACTGATGATGTCATTGGACAGAGGACAAGGTGCAGTTAATTTGATTTATTGTCCTGAGGTGAAGTGTAGCAGTGAAGCTTTCTCATAGGGAAACCATTTATCTCGGGACAATTTCCTTTATAGCTGCAATTTAACCACTACTGATGCTATAGATATTTTATACAAGGGGAGAAAATGTACACGGATTTTATAAACAAAATTTCAAATAACAAAATTCCACTTACAGTGTTTGTAATATAGAAAAGGATGGATATTGTTAACTGCCTTATATTTTGGTTCAGTTTTCCATGATTTAAAAATTCATATCCTCAAATTCCCAAATGGAGACTGTGGGTTTTATTTATTTGTGTGTGTGGGGATTAAATCAGTATAACTGTAGAAGCAATCCATATTCATGTTTATATTTAGATGTGTTTGTTGTGATCCTTCAAACTCCTAAAAGAAGCTGCATGGCTCAGGCTCATGAGGAGACTATTTGCCTTAGAACCTATTTCAGTGAATAAAGCAGAGTCGAAGAGAATGAAGGATATGTGTTCTTAAAGGTTGAAAGAGTGGTGTTTAAAATAAAGCAGAACACAAACAGGAAAGGTTATGCTTTGAAAACAGTTTTTAAGCAAATAATTCATAATTCTTTTTGAATTTGTTTTAAATCAGTCTGGACAAGTTTGTGCATTTTGTTTTGATTAGTGGTTTTTAAAATTGTTGTATTGCAAGGTACTAATTTCCCTTATAATTTCTGACATATTAATAAATCTTCTTGTTGGGTATTTATTATATTTTTAACTAGTTGATCTTAATGTGATGATTACAATGCCCTGGGAATGTGATGGAATTCTGTAACAGCAATTGCTATGCTTTATTCCTGATCCTAATTTGTGATCTTAGCTTGATAGAGTTATTTAGGTTATGTTTGAGCCCTTATAAGTTTATAATCTGCCTATCTCCTTTTACATCTGTCTGGTAGCTTCTCACATGTTTCTACAAAATCCAGTGTCACTCTTATCTTGCCCACTTATTAATTACAATAATTTTGATTAAGGTTTTGAAAATTGATGGGACAGCCAACCAAATGTTTTTAATTTCTAAACCACTGTTCTGCTTCTAAGCCATTACTGACTGTAATGGTAAGTTTTTTTATTTTTTTGGAGGCAAGAGTCTTATTCTGCTGTCTAGGTTAGAGTGCCGTGGTGTCAGCCTAGCTCATAGCAACCTCAAACTCCCTAATTCAAGTGATCCTCCTTCCTTGGCCTCCCCAGTAACTGGGACTACAGACATCTACCATTATGCCTGGCTAGTTTTT